GAGTGTGTTGTCTGGCACTTGAATCTGCGATCATCTGAACCGCCACTTTTTGTTGGGTTATTAAATGTTTAAGGGGATTGGCCATGGTAGATCTCCAAGCACAAATACCAAAGGTGAGGTAAAGGTATATTAGAGAGTGATATAAGGTAAGGAGTGCCAGTGCCCTTTGGGATACATAGTATCACATCTTGGAAAGGATACCTACTGTTTTGGGAACTTTCTTGGTTATATGCTGGATGTGGATCTGAAATTTAAGATTACAGTCAAGGTGGAGACCTAGAAATTTGCCCTCAATGTGTCTTGTAATGGGTGACTGATTTATCAATATGTTTAGCTGGATATTTATTGCCAAGTTTGTTAGTTGTCATCCAGTTTGATATTTTATGTACGTAGCTCTGTTTACAGTGTTACTAAGTACATAGCCAGGTTTGGGTGGGAGAAGATGTAAGTGGTGTCATCTGTGAATAGAACTGGTTTAAGGAGTTGTGATGTATTTGGGAAGTCACTGATGTAAATAAGAGAGTAGAGGACCTAGGACACTTCCCTGTGGCACTCCAACAACTACAGGCTGAGTATTGGAGCTCATGCCATTTATGTATACTGGTGTCTACCACTAAGATAAGATTGTAGGTAATTGAGAGTATGTCCTCTGACCCCGTAATGGTCTAGTTTTAGATGCGAGATATTGTGATCTACTGTATCAAATGCTTTCCATAGGTCTGTGAAGAGCCCCAGAGGATATTCATTTTTTCATTTGCTGTATATAGTAATTCGAGCATCTGAATAATTGCATCATTCATGCTCTTTTTCGGCCTAAGCCCAAACTGGCAGGGGTTCAGTATGTTATGTGGTAGGAGGTAGTAGTAGATTTGTTTATGTATTATTTTTTCAAAGATTTAGTTATTTAGTTCTGTAGGATTGCCTCCTTTGAGGATCGGGGTGACCCTTGATGTCTTGAATATGGATGGGAATGTTGAAGATTCAACAGATTTGTTAAATAGTGTTGCAATAATGGAGGACAGCACATGAGCTGCTTTTTTATACATGATTGGTGGCAAGTTATTTAGGTCTCCTGCCTTGTTTTTAATGATTTAATTATTAGTGAGACTTCAGTAGTATTTGTTGGTGCTATATATAGAGTATGTGGGTAATTACCTGTGAGGTAGTCTTTTGGCTGAGTATTTGCTTTTGGGATTTTGCTTGCTAGTTTTAATCCTATAGTAGAAAAGAAAAAAAGAAGACATTAAGTTTGTTGGCAGTGTCTTTAGGCTGTATGTATGGCTCGTCTGGTTTCGCTAAGTTAATCTCTCTGTTTCTAGACAGTTTTCTAGAGCCCAAAATTTCAGAGGGAGTTTTCCAGGTATTTTTCATATCACCTTTTATTTCATGAAATCTGTTTACATAATACATTTGTTTGGACTTCCGTATTAGATTAGTAAGTACTGAGGTGTATTGTTTAGTTAGTTCTTTTGTTATTAGGCCCTGTCTGAATTGTTTTTCATATACAGTAGATCATCATTTAACATGGTAGTTATGTTCCTGAAAACACCGTGTTAGGTAAAACCGTGTTAGATGAACTGAAGAACTTATGGGAAAAATAGGGTTACATTCCTGAGAGACCCAAAAAAGCCAAACAACTTTTTTTAGGCCTCCACATCTTACAAAAATGAAAGTGAAAATGTAATTGTAGTTCATTATTATGATGTATTATGTTGTTTTTACTGCTTAAGACTGCAAATGTTACAGAAATAACAATATTTCTTACCTTAAATTGTGGGTGCTGGTGTTTGTGGATGATTGTGAAGAGAGTGGAGAGTTACGCTGTGGCCCTACTGGGCTGAGGTGGATGGTATAGGTTCTGGTATTGATTCAGTAAGTCAGTCAAGTCATTCAGTAAGTCAGTCAAGTCATTCAGTAAGTCAGTCAAGTCATTCAGTAAGTCAAGTCATTCAGCAAGTCAGTCAAGTCATTCAGTAAGTCAGCCAAGTCAGTCAAGTCATTCAGTAAGTCAGTAAAATCATTCAGTAAGTCAGTTCAGTTTAATATGTTTATTATGCACCCCATACCCATCCTGTGGGCGGTAGTCAAAAGATTACAGAGGTACATAATTGGTCCAGGGACTGGACTCCAAAGTTTTGATAGCTGAGCAAGTTACAAAGGTAATGAACTAGATCTGGTCATAATCATGACCAAGTTACAAAGGTAATGAGCTCCAGGTAGAGCTGGTCACACTCATGAATAATTGCAAAGGTAATGAATCATAAACACATTAATCATGAGAATTTACAAAGGTAATGAACTCCAGGTAGAGCTGGTCAAAATCATGACAAGTTTCAAAGGTAATGAATGATAAACACGTTATCACATGATTACAATCATAGACAAATTACAGAGTAATGAGCAGTTAACAAACATAGCAGGGAATTCATCCATTGCCCCAACAACAGATGTTGCTAGGTGCCTGTCTCTCCTCGGCAGACAGCCATTGCAAACAGCAGCAAGTTGCCCCGGGATCTGCTGCTTGCACGAGCACCATCGACCCTCCCCAAGAGGTCCAAGAAGCAGTGGCTCCGTTAGCAGCCCGATGGAGAGCTGTCCTAGAGACATGGCAACGTCCTGGTGGACGCCAAGTTGACTGAAGATCCCAGGCCCTCGTGTGCACGGATGTTGAAGCTTGAGGAACTGAGTACACACTGCCTGTGGCACACCTGACAGCTGCCTCGCGGTCGAACTCCACGATGCTGTCCCTGTAGTGGAAGTTCCTGTGAGCCCGGCACTCCCTGCAGTGCCATCGCTGACATCGTGGGTTAGGGGAGAAGTACCCTCTATAGATGGGGTGGCGCTGGGAGTTGGGTGGGTGAGGCGGGGGAGACGGGCAGGGGCGAGGCGTTATGAGAGGGTCACTGTTTACTACACATGCCCTCCCCCTCCCAGTAAGTCAGTCAAGTGATTCAGTAAGTCAGTCAAGTCATTCAGCAAGTCAGTCAAGTGATTCATTAAGTCAGTCAAGTCATTCAGTAAGTCAGTCAAGTCATTCAGTAAGTCAGTCAAGTCTTTCAGTAAGTCAGTCAAATTGTTCAGTAAGTCAGTCAAGTGATTCAGTAAGTCAGCCATTCAGTCAGCAAGTCAGTCATTCAGTCAGTCATTCAGTCAGTAAGTCATTCAGTCAGTAAGTCACACAAACTTATGTTTACCTCTTTTTTATGTGTACGAAGTAACACTTTATTATGGCCACAGGATGTCTTGTCTAATATCTTTGTTTCCTTCGTTAATTCTAAGACTTAAATGCTTATGCCTTTTCTTGCCACTTTGAGAAACGCTGATATGCTTACTGGATGTCATGGTACAGCAATTAAAAGATCAAAACACAATTCACAACCACAAGCTTGTAGCAGAGAAGTTGCACTGGACAGTATGAAGTACAAATGCTTTGATAGTGGGGTGGTGTTGGGGGTGGGTGGGGGAGGCTGGGAACGACAGAAGGTCTCCCCAGCTGAACCACAACAAGGCTGCTGCTTGAGGAAAAGAGAAGTTTTTTCCCTTCCCGCAAACTGAACCGTGTTAAATTCATCATACGACATGTTACATAAAATTGTGCCGCAATTCTTCAATCGTGCTATACCCAAATCATGCCAAATAAACTCGTGCTAAATGACGGTTACTGTAAATGCTTTTTTATCGATGGATTTAAGTATGTATACTATTGGTAAGCCAGGGGCTGTTTAGTCTCTTTGCTGAGATCTGCTTCGTTTTTATTGGATGATGTCTATTTAGAGGATATGGGTTGTGTGTAGGAATATTTGGACACATCAATATCGTGGCTGTCCGCTAACTCGTCCAGCTAGTCAGTGTTACGTAAGGCAGTAATAAAATTATTTACTGATGACTCATCATGTAGTCGAAAACTTAATGTAATCCAGCTTGACCTGACCAGGAAATTAACTCCTGATCTATGTTAGGTTAACTTAAGTTTAGTTAACTAAAAAAAAAAAAAAGTTTTTTTTTTTTTTAGAATCACCGTATTAGCAGAACACCATAAAGCGGGGCCCTACTGTACTTAGTTTTTATTATATTGCAGGTATTTAGTAATTCAGTAAAAAAATTCTAATTAGCAGTATATTTAGGACAAAGCTAGGTACGTACATCAAAAAGAAGGAATGATAGACAAGAACAGGGACAATATAGAATGAAAGAATTGTTCAGCATAATAGATTGTAACCCTTCATGGAGTGTGCATTGATGCTGATACAGGTCTGTCTTAACCCTTAAACTGTCCAAACGTAGATCTACGTTTTTTCAACATTTGAAAGTATGTAAAAAAAGTAGATCTTCTTTCTTTTTTTACATTTGAAAAAGTGTAAAAAAAACTTTGATCTATGTTTTTTTTTTTTTTGTTATATTTGAAAATATGTAAAAAAACATAGATCTACTTTTGGAGCGCTATGCATGTGAATGTAGATCTGCTTGGATAGTTTAAGGGTTAACTGAAAGGATGAGAGACATACTCCTGTACTTGAGTGATGCTTGGAAGCTTCCCAGGCACTGCATGACCCCTGCCAGTCTAGAATTTCCATGTATATGTGTTGGTAGAATTACCGACAATATATTAGGTAAGAGGACACAAGTGCAACTAATATGACATTATATTGTGTCAACATTTTGCTCTCCAGGAGCTTTGTCAAGTTTCATAAAGCCCCTGGAGAGCAAAACATTACCACAATAAAATGTCACATTAGTTGCACCTGTGTCCTTTTACCTAACATAGAATTTCCATGCTCATTGCTCAGTGGTAGCTGGGCGTATCATCAGACAGGACCAGGGTTCATTTCCAGGAAATGTTGAGATGAGTGGGTAAGTCTCATTAAATCTGCTGCCCAGGTTCATGTAGAAGCAGAGAGATACCTAGTTGTTAGTCATTTATTTTGGCTCATCCTAGAGTGAACCCCAGCAGAAATAAATTGCATTTGACTTTTATTGGATTATTAATTTTTTATGGTCAGGTAATGTGGTGATGCAACCTAGTTGGCTGGATGGACAACTCCCAGTTTTCGTCTTCCCCCAGTCGCTTACTTTTTACGTTGCTGATCAGAGTACTCACAAGCAAATTGTAACTTTATGCAACCCTTATGAATTTCATATCTCCTACTCAGGTGAGTTTTCTTCAGAGTTTATTTAAAATGTACATTATAAAAAGTAGAAGTGAAATGTATTTTTCTTAAAAAATTATTAATAATTGCATGTTTCCAAAAATGTTGAAGAAAATAAGCATCTTAATGTAGATTGTTATGAAATGCAATATTTTATAAACTACCAACTGTGTTAGCTTAGGCTAAACAGGTTTTAAATTCAGTTGTCATTTTCAGTTTGTGGAAAATATTAATTGCCCTGTTGTAGTAGCACTCTTTACTGAAAATTTATAGATGTCACAGAGAAAAATCCTCCATTTCAGTTCTGTATATTCATTTTTTTTTATGATCAAATAGTTTACTGTAAATATTATTACACCTAAAGGAAAAGCATGTCTCTAGTTAAAGTAGTTTAAGTTGTATTATATACAACAGTAATTTGTGAAAAACTGTATGTGTATGTGTGTGTGTGTCTGTGTGTTTTTTTGTGTGTACTCCCTATTTGTACTCGCCTATTTGTGGTTGCAGGGGTCAAGACATAGCTTCTGGCCCACCTCTTCACTGATCACTACTAGGTCTTCTCTCTCTCTCTGCTCCATGAGCTGTCTCATATCTCGTCTTAAAACTATGTATGGTAACTGCCTCCACTACATCACTTGCCAGACTATTCAACTTCCCGACATCTCTATGACTAAAGAAATACTTCCTAACATCTCGTGGACTCATCTGAGTCTTCAACTTCAAATTGTGACCCCTTGTTTCTGTGTCCCATCTCTGGAACATCCTGTCTCTGTCCACCTTGCCAATTCCTCGCAATATTTTGTATGTTGTTACCATGTCTCCCTTAACCCTCCTGTTCTCCAGTGTCATCAAGCCGATTTCCCTTAACCTTTCTTCATAGAACATTCCCCTTAGGTCTGGAACTAGCTTTGTTGCAAACCTTTGCACTTTCTCTAATTTCTTGACTTGCTTGATCAGGTGTGGGTTCCAAACTGGTGCTGCATACTCCAGTATGGGCTTGACGTACACTGTGTACAGAGTCTTGAATGATTCATTACTGAGGTATCGGAACACTATTCTCAGGTTTGCCAGGTGCCCATATGCAGCAGCAGTTATCTGGTTGATGTGTGCTTCAGGAGATGTGCTCGGTATTATACTCACCCCAATAGCCTTTTCCTTGAGTGAGGTTTGCAATCTTTGGCTACCTAGCCTATACTCTGTCTGCGGTCTTCTTTACCCTTCCCCGATCTTCATGACTTTGCATTTGGCAGGGTTAAATTCAAGGAGCCAGTTGCTGGACCAAGCTTCCAGCCTGTCCAGGTCTCTTTGTAGCCTTGCCTGGTCTTCATCTGATTTAATTCTCCTCATTAACTTCACATCATTTGCAAACAGACACTTCTGAATCTATCCCTTCTGTCATGTCATTCACATATACCAAAAATAGCACTGGTCCTAGGACTGACCCCTGTGGAACCCCACTCGTCTTAGATGCCCCCTGTGATACCTCGTCACATACCATGGCTCATTGTTGCCTCCCTGTCGGGTATTCTCTGATCCATTGCAGTGCCCTTCCTGTTATAGTTTGCCTGATCCTCTAATTTTTGCACTGATCTCTTGTGAGAAACTGTGTCAAAGGCCTTCTTGCATTCCTAGAAAATGCAATCTACCCACCCCTGTGTGTGTGTGCGTATGTGTGCAGGCATGTGGGTGTGTGCACGTGCGTGCATGCCAAAGTTGCACAAACATTACACCTCAAATGACCATCCAAACTGCAGCATCCCTATCCCTCTTTTAGGGCACAGACAGTGTACTTCTCACCTCCAGGATTTAAGTTTGGTTAACCATTTTTCCTGAATCCCTGTATAAATTTTATCTTGCACTCCAACAGGACATCATGTCCTGTTGCACTCCCATGTGACATGCTTATACACGCCTGATGAATGCTGAGGCCCTTATCAATGCAAACCCTTTTCACACTCCCCCATCCTTCCTGGGATGACCTGCACCCTTCCTTTCCACCCCAGATTTATACACCCTCTTGGTTCTATTTTGCTCCCTCCTCTAAATGCTGCTGCTCCTCTGCCCTCAGAATTATACACCACACATTGCTTTGAAACATGACATCGCTTCTGACTCGAGCCTTCTTATAGCTGCAATGTTTCACATCAGTACTCACATGCTCCAGCCCAGTTCTCTTTTTTTTTTTTCTTCCATAGTTAACCCTTTCACTGTCACATCCCCTACAATTAAGTGCTGACAGTGTTCTGAATAAAAAACTTCTAAAATTGTAGAGAATTTTTATCTGTTGACCATGATTTGCTGCACATTCAGTTAACACACTGGTATAAGAGGGCACTCCCTCAACTACCTAAAGTCATACCTTAGTAACAGAAGCCAATATGTGTACACAAATGGAGCAAACTCTTCCACTCAGCCAGTCACAGTTGGTGTCCCACAAGGAAGTGTCCTTGGCCCACTTCTCTTTCTCATTTACATCAATGACCTACCGAATGCATCATAGCTGCTCAAACCTATGTTATTTGCAGATGACACAACATACGTCTTTTCTTACCCAAACCCAGTCGTACTGGCTAACACTGTTAATGCTGAATTGCAGAAAATATCTACCTGGATGATGACAAATAAGCTTACCCTCAGTACTGAAAAAACCTGTTTCATTCAGTTTGGAAACAGAGCTGCAAATGTTCCATTTAACATAATGCTAAACGGATCACCCATCACAAGACTCACTGAGGGAAAATTCCTAGGAATCCACCTTGACAGCAGCCTTAAATTCCAGACACACATATAACAAATTTCTAAGAAAATCTCTAAGGCAGTGGGCATACTATCACCTCTCCTTGCACTGTATCATTCACTCATCTACCCTTATCTCACATATGGAATTTGTGCATGGGGATCAACAACATTAAATCACCTAAGACCACTAATAACCCAGCAAAAGGCTGCAGTCAGAATGATAAATTCCCACTCCCGACAACATACTCCACCAATATTCAAAAGCCTAAAACTGCTCACCGTTAAGAACATCCATGCTTATTCATGTGCCTACTACATACACAGAACACTACACTCAAACATAAACCCTCCATTCAAACTTCTCCTCACCAGCCTTAACAGGACACAAGACCACAAGGACACATGACCACAACACAAGACACAGATCTCTTTTTGATGTACCTCTTGTCCATATCTCACTGTGTAAAAACTCTGTGCACATACAGGGCCCCAAAATTTGGAATTCATTACCAGTAAACACTAAAGTAACCAGGTCTGAACACCAGTTTAAGGCTCTTCTCAAAAGCCACTAACTCACCCCAAACTAAATATTCAATACACAATATTTAACTTGACCAAAAAATTACCCAAATCTTAAACTTCATATCTAGACGTCCAAAGTTCATACATTATTAATCCTACTTTGTCGTATAAATACCTACCCAAAACAATACTGCCTTACATCAACTGTAGCATTCTCATACTATAAACTACTTTCAACAACTCGCAATGTTATATTCCCATAATTTGAATCCAATATTCATTAATGAAACTATTGTAATTAGAATAAGACTACTGTCTGCTATATCCAAAGAAGATGTATAACATAAACAAACCGATCAATTTCTTTAGTATTAAGTAGTATGTAAGCCATTAAATTAAGTCTACCCATAATGCCTAGGCATGATAGTGGCTCTCTTTGCATTGTACCCCATTATTGTAATTTCATAATCTCATTGTAACCTTGCAAAGAAATAAACTTTGTTTGTTTGTTTTGGATGCAATTTGGTCATCAAAAATATTTACCTATTTTGAGTCCTACTTTTATTCCATTGCTCAATTTGACCAAATTTTTAGTTATTTTCCTAGTATACCTTCCATTCTAGCAATTGAGCACAAGAAACTACTCTTTTAACTATTGCAGTTACCCTGTAAAGTGCACAAAAGTCAGAAATTTGGCCACTTTTACACAAGTTCAAATTTAAAAACATGAAAAATCGAAGTTTTGCCCGGTTTCTCAGATAAAGTATAACCAAGAATGATTGGTCATGGTTTATAGCATCCCAGTAACAAGCAGACCTGGTAAAAACCCATAAAACAAATCAGGGGGAGGATGGGGGACCTTGACTTTCCTTAGGAAAATTGTCAAAAATCTAACATTTCTACTTGAGCCCTATTTCAAAATCATCTTTATTTCAGTATGTTTAACATTCTGTCACTCAATAGCAAGAATCAAAACAAGGGTCAGAGTTTTGCTTTTCCCATCATGCACTGCATGGGGGTAGGATTTATTTTTATTTTGCATAAGCTCATTACACAGATCAGATTTGCTGTTGCAGTATTTCCATGTAGTATATAGTATTAAAGGATGGATGGAAGGGGTATAAGAGGTTTTGTGTGCATGGGGCCTGGACATGTAGCAGGCATTGTGTGTGTGTGTTAGATAGGAGTGAATAAAGATAAGATAGATTTATTTTTTTGTAAAGGTTACAATGTGTAATTACAATTTTGGTTTGCTAAGTACAAAGAAAGTCACTTATCATGCCGGGGCATTTCGGGCAGTCTAATCCTAGTACATGTACATAGTAACTACTTGAAACTAGACAAGACAATAGTGGTTAACTTTATTACAATCTTATTTAATCTTAATACTAATGCGAGTATTAGTCAGAGGGCAGAAGAGGGGTTGTTGAGGTGGTTTGGTCATTTAGAGAGAATGGATCAAAGTAGAATGACATGGAAAGCATATAAATCTATTGGGACAGGAAGGCGAGGTAGGGGTCGTCCTCGAAAGGGTTGGAGAGAGGGGTAAAGGAGGTTTTGTGGGCAAGGGGCTTGGACTTCCAGCAAGCGTGCGTGAGCATGTTAGATAGGAGTGAATGGAGACGAATGGTACTTGGGACCTGACGATCTGTTGGAGTGTGAGCAGGGTAATATTTAGTGAAGGGATTCAGGGAAACCGGTTATTTTCATATAGTCGGACTTGAGTCCTGGAAATGGGAAGT